TATTTTTTTTCGCTAATTTGTGAAAATCTAAAGCATTTTTTAAAATAAGATTTTGGGCTTTTACTAGTTGCCAAACTTTTCGCTTAACAACTGCGCCAACACCATCCACCGCTCCTTTTCCATGAGAAGTAGCGAAAAAATTCCATTCGAAACAACTCACATCAAATTCTTTTACGAATTGTGGAATGTTTCTCAAAATGTACTTATTTTTAAATTGACTTCTGCAGCCATCAGAAAATATTTGCATTCTATTGAAAGAATGAAGCTTTCTGATTTTTTTAATTAATAATTTAATAAAGCAGTAAAAAGAATTTTTATTGTGCGACAGCTCATCACTTAAAATGCAATAGGACTTGGCGCAATTGTTGAACCAAGCAGCGCATGTAAACAAAGATACTTGTGAGTAACTGAAATGAGCAGATTGAATCTCATTTTGCGACAAAATTCTGTAACTTTCTGCAATATCAACTTGCAATATTAAATCATTAGGTTGTATTTGCATCTTTGAGGCATTAAAATAGCTTTGCTGCGAACGTTTATTGTATGAATGCAGCTTAAAGGCAGGAAGCTTTGCCGTAAGCTCATACATTAATTCTTTTACCGATCCTTCGGTGTTGCATAGTACCATCCTGTTGTTTACCATTCTCCAATGCTTCCAAGCGGCAGTTTTGTCCATGCGATTAACATACAGCAATGGTACAATATCTACAATGTTAATCACACATTTTTCACACTCGCTGGTCATACAGATTTCACTGTCAACGTTACAGTAAGTTTCCTTTAAAAAATTATCAAAGTTTGATGGAAACGTTGGAACTATTTTAACAAAACTTTCTAATAAGAAAGCTATGTTTGCGTGATATTGAAACACGCACATGAAATGAGGTATTTTTTCAGTCAGCTCAACTGATATTGGACGGTTTTCGTAGAACTTGGTTCGAGAAATATGTCTATCCGGAAACTCATGTTGAAACAGGTCATACGCCTGAATCACAGTGAGTAGCATATATCGCTTGGAAACTGGAAGCTGATTAGCTCCAGCTAATATTGTTGCTTTTCTACAAGCAGATTGCACCGAAATCTCATCGCGTTTGTAATACTCTTGAATTAGATTGACATCATCATCACTTTTTGTTTGTGGTGCACTTTGTTTTTTGTCTTTGCCAAGGTATTTTTTTATCAGCACCTTTAGGACTGCGCGTTTCTGATATTGATACTTTTTGGTAGCGCAATATCCACCCTTTTCACAGCTTTGGCCAAAGTCTGGGCGGAATTATAAGGCTCGTCATTGTTTGCTTTTGCTGTTGCCTTTTGCTTATGTGCCTCTCTAAATTTGGCCACGTGTTGTCTATTCTCGGTTTTATGTTTTTTTTGCCAGTGACACACTATTATTTAACTGCTCTTTTATTTTTTTACGATATGCTCGCTTTCTTTCTGCCTCTTTAATTTTATACTCCAAAAGTTTTTCATTATTATTTTTTAAATCTGCGCGAAATTTTTTTGCTCTGTCTGCATTTGAACTCATTTTAAATACGAATATTGTATACTTGTCACCACGCACGTTTATAATTGAAATGAGTTTGGCAAAACTATGAGATCAAAGCAAGAACTTCTAAAAGCTTTCTAACGGAAAATGCAGTAAGTAAACATTGCATGCATGGGTGTACCACCGAATATTTGCAGGGGGGTTGTGGGGGTTACAACATTGTAATTAATTACTTATTATTAATTTTTAGGAATCATTTTAGATTTGAGAAGAATTTTCATTTCATCTTAATTTAAGCTGTGCTTGTCTGACCCCCTTGGGGTACAGCCTTGTTCGCTTGCAATATGTTCACGAAAACTCAAAGCTGATAATTCTAAAAACAGATGCAGCTTTCAAACGGTTATTTACATGTGCAAGCATGGGTACACCGAGCATTGCAGATTGGGGGATCGCATGTTATTTAAACACACTTTTTGTTACTTTGAGGTTAAGTTTTTCGGATTCTCGGCAACCTAGACGAATTTGAAGCCCAGATTCATATTCAGCAGGTGAAATCCATTATAAACACCTACTTTCACCTCATAATATTAAAATACAATTTTTTAATGTTCATGCCGTTACGGACGTTACATACTTTGCCATTAGTATTTTTCAAAATAATGTGTAATAAAGGTATTTTATTTTTTCATTAGATTAAAGTGCATAAAAGACTCTGTTTATAAAGCTTGTTTGGAAAACAAAATTGTTCAAATTCATTCTGTTAAAATAAAAAAAACCCTTTTTTCCGTTACGGACGTTACACACAGTGTGCCCATTTTTAGTTCAAATTTTTTCATACATATTAGATAATTTACAAATATGATTTGTATCTTAAATAATAGAAAATGAAACAAGTTTTAAGATTGGCCAAGCGCTAAATACTGTAAAGACTGTTTTGCCCACTTTTTTGACCATGGAAAATATCCTTCTTTTTACAAGAATACTTGAAAGCAAGAGGTTAGCCTCAGCCAAGAACCAACAAACCACCGTAAAACCATATTGCTCATATCTTTTGAAGCTTGAATATGTATCCTATTATTCCATTAACAAACATTTGGATTTTGGACAACTTTAAATTTCTGCCTTTGGTTTAAAAATTTTCGGATTAGCCCATATACGAAAAGAAGAATTTTTCTGGGGATCGAGCCGTCTAAATGCGATAGGAAGAGCTAAACTATGTTCTAAAAAGCTTTTTTTGACAACTGTCATTTAACGAAAGCTTCGCCCACTAAGCTGGTTTGAAAGCTAAGCTTTGCTTTGCCTGAAATTATGCAGCGTGATTCTGCCAGCATAATTTATCCAATTTTATCGCATGCGATAATATCATTCACTGCGCTTAATTATTTCTGTTCAGCTGCAACTACCAGCGCCACTACAGTGTTCATGGCCAAGAGCCGATCATATTGCTGTTTAAAGCATACGATCAGCTCTTTGAAGCCACTCCGCATCTGCCTCATGAACGAACGCATGTCGTTTTCCACCACTGTGCAGAGCAAATGCTTAGAGCAATGCTTAAAGCGAAATCGGTAAAAGATGAGAGAGGAGAGTGGTTGCAGCAACAGCTTATAAGTGAGAGCGTTACTGCACAAAAAGTTACAAGAGCGAGAGCGAAAGAACAGTTATTGAGAGTTAGGTGATAGAGAGAGTGACACTAGTCAACACGATTTTTCCTCAAGGAACAAAACGAACTTTTTCTTAAAGATTTGGGGCTTAGAAATGGTTTGATGATAATTTTTTTTTTTCTATGGCAGAACTTTTTTTTAAAGAATTTTTGAAAACTGGTATTTTTTTTAAGCTTTTTTCAGAGGTAGCGCTTGTTTGGAAAAAAAAAAAAAAATAAAATATGGAAAAAATGAACAAAAAATACCTTTTTGAAGGCGGCGGGCCCAACTGCCAATTGGGAACAAAGCAAACGAACAAGGGTTGTACATTTGGTACCTGATCGCGCTCCTTTGTTCCCAATGGGCAGTTGGGCTCGCAACGTTCCAAAAGGTATTTTTTGTTCCTTTTTTCCATATTTTAGGTTTGGTTAACGAATTTTAGCTCCATAGATTTTAATGAGCGATACCTTAAACGACGCCAAATTAACGCACCTATACACAAAAAAAATAGAGGACACAAGATATAATTTTTTTTCGACTTTTCTTGAGTTTTTAAAGTCAAAATTTCGTAAAAAATACCCCACAAAAATCATCATTTTTGCATTTCAATGCTTTATATCCCGGACGGTAGCTGAAATCCAAGTGTTTGGCATCAACTTCTAGCTGTTTCAATTATTTTTTCAAAATAGCAAAGTTCTTTACAACCAGACGTAAGATACTAGAGTTAGTGAAAAAAACAAGCGCTACCTCTGAAAAAAGCTAAAAAAAAAATACCAGACTTCAAAAATTCTTCAAAAAAAAGTTCTGCCATAGAAAAAAAACCATAATTCTTTAAAAAATTTTAAAGCCCCATATCTATCAGAAAAAGTCGGTTTGGATCCTTGAGGAAAAAAAAAGTTCGATTTTGTCGAGTAGTGTTATTGAGCTATGTTGTATTTTAGGTTATTTGGATCTAGTTGATTCCTTCGTCTGTGATAGTAAATCAAATTTTCATTATTATCGTATATTATGCCTATTTCTGTAAGTATTTTAATATGCTTAATTGTTAGCAGATATAATGAGTTATTAAGGGGTGGCTCCACCTGTGATACGCTCTTAGATATTAAGGGATTTTTGTTGTCTATATTTGTGAGTATAAATTTTTTTGTGTTTTCGAAGGCTATTTTTATCTATTCTTTTTATTTTTGCTAGTTTATACAGTTTTATATTTGCTATTGTTTTATTATTCACTTCACCGGGAATGGGGTGATAGGCACGTCTTAAAATTTTTCTCTCGTGAAATCGGATTTTTTCCATTTGGATGGATGGTAAGTTAATCCATGCCACATGTCCGTATGTGAGAATGGGCTGTATTAGTTTTTTGTATATTAGTGTTCGTATTTTTGTGACCTTGTGAAGGTACCCTTCCCAACCACCACCACCTACCTCATTCCATCACGGGTCTCAGCTCCCCACCTACCTCACCCACACGTCATCTTGTAAAATTAGTTATATATTTTTTTCATTCTTTTTAGTTCTAAGCCATCCATATTAAATAGCCAATATTTTCATTATTTTTAGTTCTAAGTCGTCCATATTAAATAGCCATACAAGTTTAAATATAGCGCCTATCCTTTATTGAGGGACCAGAAGCCTCACCCTGACCGGAACCGGTTTAGAACCAGTACATCGGAACCAGCATGGGAACCAGCACATCGGAACCCGCACATCGGAACCAGCATAGGTACCAGCCCACCAGAACCAGCGCAGGAACCACCACCGCGAGCGAAGAGAAAGAAATTAAGAGCAACGACACCAAAGAGAGCCGAACTCCCACCCCCCCACATCACCGAGCATGGAACGCTGCTCACGCCGTAGCGCAAGCGCACGCAACAATGAGTAGGAGAGAAACGCGCAGACTCTCAGCCACGACCAGTGTCCACGCCACATGGGGAGACTCACCGACTCCCGTGAAGAAGAGCGGAGAGAGCCGAAAAGCCGAAGCGCCAGCAGAGGCTAGCGGCAGAGAAAACACAGATTTGGGAGCCAAGGAAGGCACGCACCAAAGAGAGGATCGGGACAGAAGTTTTGACTCTAGAACTGGCCGGTCGCAAGCGGAAAAAAGTAAAGTGAAAGTGGAAGCAGAAGACGAGGAGCGGAACAGGAGCCAACAGAAGTGGAACACCAGGAAGACAGGAGCGGAGCAGGAAGGAGAGGGGTAAGCTGGCCTCACGTAGATGAGAAGGAGAAGAGAGATAGGTGCGATCGTAGGGATTAGGGACACACACACACTCGCACAGACACTAAGCTACCCTGCAGTACCAGAAGTGAGCGATGACAAATGTCAACTACGCGTCATTCAAGATTTTTTCTCTGCCGCTGCAACAGACGAGTAGAATATGACGTCGACGTCGCGATCGACGCGTCGGTCTGACAACTCTTTTTTTTCTTTGTTTCTTTCTGTTACGACTCGTGCCGTAACAGAATTCGGTTTTGCCGTCGGCATCGACAACGTTGTTAGAATTATGCGGTGAAAAGTGAGACGCAGGTTTTGTTTATTTTGGGCAAAATTATTATCAGGTAAGTGCAGTGTTTCATTTAATTAAAAATAGTCTATTGTGCGTTGTAAAAAATGAAGAAAATGTGATAGTGCGAAATTAAATTTTTGGACGAAATTTTTCATTTCCAACAACGAAAACAGAAAAAAACCACCCGATTGGTTCTTGCGAGTCTTGAGTCGAACAGGTACATATCTTGGCGAGTGTTTTGTTTTTGGCGCAAATGCACTGCTGATCTACTGAGAGCATTGTTAACAAATTGAGAAATATTTTAATTAACCCATCTTATTTTAAAGGCGATACAGTTGAATGACCACGACGACCTTACGATCATGAGCAAATCAAAAAAACTAAAAAGGTTCTGTGGAAAAAAGAACACACAGCACAAAAATGTGAATATGTATACATTTTTATAAGAAAACAATAAATAAAAGAAATTTAATATTTTAAAACAGAATTTACCCATGCCTTTTTCATCAAAATATCAAAAATTTTTACTTAAATACATCACTTATTAGGGCCTTACTTTTTAAGGGAAATTCATCGCTTATTAAGGCCTTACTTTTCAAGGGAAATTCATCGCTTATTAAGGCCTTACTTTTTAAGGGAAATTCATCGCTTATTAAGGCCTGACTTTCGGCTAATTCTCGCTTACTATGTCATCGATTATGCTCCTAGGACATCCCTGTGTTAAAGTAAACAGCCCATCGTATGGCAGGTCATCGCTTATGTCATCGAGCTGCATGACGTTGCCATCGATGTGTGGTTGCTTACACATCGCTTACCCGTACTGCAGGGTAGCATTTAGGTCACCCCCAATGATTACTGGTGTATTACCTGCACCATATCTTGTCTGGACGTTGATATGCAATGACTGCACCATCAAGTGGCCCATGCGACACCAAGCCGAAGCCTGTTACGCGCGGAACCCAGGCAGAAACGCAGCCCTCCTCCCGCCCAACCGACCGAGGGGCGCTGCCGCATGACGCGCGACGCGTGTTACCGAACCGATCGCGAGCATGCAGGAAAGATAGGTGTTAGACTAAAATTCGAGGAAAATTAGAGCTAAACACAACTCAAAGAGCTAAGCATGCAAGGATAGCTAAAAAATATAACTAATTACGGGAAAGGTATGTTAGTATTAGTGATTTAAGAAGAGGAAGGGAATTAGTAGTTGATATTATGTGGTAGAGGGAATTGAAGTCCGAGCAAAGTACCCTAAATGGTTCGTGCAAGGAATAATTCGATCTACAAAGCGGAAGGAAAAGAGGAATGAAGTTTCTAGTAGATCTAATAGGAATCGTAAAGTTTATGCGGCTCAACAAGTCAGGGCTATCTACATCACCCTTGATCAGGTTGTGCATAAAAATCACACCAAGCATTTTTCTACGACTAACTAAGGTTGGAAGGTTTATTAAAAGCAATCTACGAGGATAAGATGGCAGTCTCACACCTGCATCCCAGTTAAGGCCACGCAGAGCAAAAAGTTTTTCTGGACTGATTCTATACGGTCCTGGTGTACTTTGTACTGGGGGCACCATACACAAGAGCCGTACTCTAAAATCGGACGAACAAGCGAGATGTAGATAGTCTTCGTTCAATAGGGGTCGTCAAATTCCTTTGACCACCTCTTTATAAACCCAAGCACACCCATGGCCTTATTTACCATGGTAGAAATGTGTTCAGAATACTTTAACTTTGGGTCTAATTTAACACCAAGATCATCAACCAAGGGAATTCTCTCAAGAGAACCACCGCAGAGGCTATAAGGAGCCAAAAGGGGGTTGGAGCGATGAAATGTCATTACTTTGCATTTCGAGGCATTTAGGTGTAACATATTTGCACATCACCATGATTGAAAGTTATTGAGATCGGATTGCAAGCGAGAGTGAAATGACATGTCCTTATACTGGACACAAAGTTTAACATCATCCGCATACATGAGTACTCGAGAGTTTGTTAATACTGAAGGCAGATCATTAATAAAGAGTGTGAATAGTAGGGGGCCTAGATGGCTGCCCTGTGGTACTCCAGAAGTAACCTTAACAGGTGAAGAGAAGGAGTTTTTGAAGAGGAATCTTTGAGACCTAGAACAAAGGTAGCTAGAAATCCATCTCAAAAGATTAGGCGGAAACCCTAAAAGGTCAAGTTTTTGTGCTAAAAGGGAATGGTTTACAGAATCAAATGCTTTACTAAAATCAGTGTAAATGACATCAGTCTGCAAGTTACCTTGAAAGCCTTTAATGATAAAAGAGGTAAACTCTAATAAATTTGTGGTTGTTGATCGTCGCCTTATAAATCCGTGCTGGGACGGAGATATAAGTGATTTGCAGAGATGTTGCAAGTGCGGAGTTAAAATTTTTTCAAACATTTTAGGAATAGCGGATAACTTAGATATACCCCTATAATTATTTGCATCAGACTTGCTACCTTTCTTATGGAGCGGAATAATAAAAGATTCCTTCCAGATGGGGGGGAAGCATGAAGAGTTAATGGATAGGGTGAATAGTTTAAGCAAGGGTCCACACAGAGCGTCGGAACAGTACCTGAGTACACAGCCGGGAACTCCGTCGGGACCTGGTGAAAACACCGGCTTAACTAGTCGAAGATCATGAAGCAGTGAGCTTTCATTTAACAAGGGGCTAAAGATGCCATTCGACCTTGGTAAACTGTATGGATACGGCTGACCAGAGTAGCTTTCATGAGAATAGGTTGTTTGGAAAAATTTGGCAAAAAGATCGGCAATTTCCTGATCATTGTTTGCTGACATATTGAGAAAAGATAACGAGGATGGATGTACGGACGTTCTACGCTTACTATTTACGAAGCTGTAAAACTGTTTAGGGTCCTGTGAAAATCGTATCCTGCATCGAGATAGGTAGTTCTTATAGCATTGAGCGTTAAGAACGGAGAAATTTGACCGAGCTATTACATAGTGAGAAAGAGAAGAGGGAGAACCAACTTCTCGAAATTTTTTATAAAGTCTTGATTTTAAATTTTTTAGCTGGATAACTCCTTGGTAAACTAAGGAGGCTTTCCAGATCTAACCGGACAAGAAAGTGGGACACAAGAATCAAAAAATGTGTCAAGTACATTGTAAAAAATGTGTGCCTTTCATAACGTCAGTGCACAAGTACAGAGCGGACCAATCAAAATCCCTAATAAGGTTATTAAGCTTCGTAAACTCGGCTTTACGAAAGCAGCGGACACGTTCAGATAGCCTACTCATTCGATCCAATACAGTAGGGCCAATATCGACTGACACTTCGAATGTAGGATGGTAGGAGTCTTCAGGTATACTGAGCGGAAGGGCTCGGGTTAACAACGCTATGGTCGGATCCGAGACAAAGCACAGATCAAGCAATCGACCCAAGGAATTTTTCACATGGTTGACTTGAGACAGGGATAGGTCTAGCAAGCCGTCGATAAAGTCATGTCGTGACATGGGCACAAGGTTATTAGACTCGTTTACCGAAGACCAAACAGCACCTGGCAAATTAAAATCACCAAGAACTATCATATGGTCTTTATCTTATAGCGAGGAAGAAACAGTTTTTAAAGCGGTCAGGTGATGCTCGTATATTAAGATATCCGAGGAAGGTGGAATATACGAGCAAGTAATGAAAATGGAAAAGCCTGGGAGAATCAGTTTTACGCACAGGAATTCCAGGTCTTGTTGAACCTGGACCATGAAATGTTCCGACGTGAAATTTGAGTCCACTGCTAATAAGGACCCCACCTCCACGTCGAGACGAACGGTCATTTCTAAAAATTGTGTACCGACCTGCCAAAACTTCGGAACTAAGGATGTCCGGCTTTAACCAGGTCTCGGTGAACACAATAACGTGGGATGAGAATGCGAGACTCTCAAGGAAAAGAGTGCTGAGCTTACTACGCAAGCCTCTAGCATTCTGGTAGGTAACTACAAGAGAGGAAGTTAGTTTTTTGGATGGGTGGAAGTAGAGGTGGAAGATGAGGATGGAGATGGAGCACTGGTCTGAATGCTAGGAAGAGTAATGGGGGGCCTATTCTTTTTCTTAGCCTTAAACTCTTTAACCACCAAATGCTCTGGCCAAAACTTGGCGGAACAAATGGTTTCAAATTGAGTTGGGGAGACGCTTATCTTGAAGGAAGATATCTCCCTGGCGTAAGAAAAGTTAAATTTTTCCACCTTTAAGCCGACGGCTTTTATTTTGCTTTGTATAAAAGCGGTCACATCATTGGATGTGAGGTCAGGGGCTAGCCGCGAGACAAAAACTTGTCGCTTTGGTGGGACTCCCACCAGTGGTTTTGGCACCACAGGCCTAGTACCTGTGATGGCAGTATCCGGTGGTCCTGGACATCTATTAGCTGGTGGGAGCAAAACTGAGGGGATAGTTAAGGGGTTGGGTGCGGACTCGATGGACACGGACTCTACAGACATTTCTAACTGCATACTCTCCGAAGTGACGCATTCGGCTCCCGAATCTGCATCACCAGCAGCGATCGTTGCCCTTGGAGTAGCAAACGTAATCAACTGCTGCACTAAGGGAGTGGTCGGAGTAAGTTTTTCGGCTGCCGGCGGACATGAAGCAGTCGGCACTTGCAAGTCCCGCGGAGTAGACTTCTTGCGCCTCGGAGACTCAGCCAGCAGCTGTAAACTGCTGAACTGAGTGTTCATGGCCAAGAGCCGATCATACTGCTGTTTAAAGCCTACGATCAGCTCTTTGAAGCCACTCCGCGTCTGCCTCATGAACGAACGCATGTCGTTTTCCACAGCACGGCATTCCTCACAACTATAATGTAGGCCGTTGTTTTGGGAAATGGCGTCTCCTACACGGCCCGAGATCCCTACACATTTTGCGTGCACTACGCTTTCGCAAAGCCAGCAGGGGATATTGGGCTGGTCATGGGTGATCTGCTTCTTGCAGGTTTTTTTGGCACAGACGACAGAAAATTCCATATTTATGTCTTTAATTTTTTTTTTACTTCGGGAAAAAAAAAGTTCAAAACAAATAGCAATCAGACCACTGTGCAGAGCAAATGCTTAGAGCAATGCTTAAAGCGAAATCGGAAAAAAAAAGAGAGGAGAAGTGGTTGCAGCAACAGCTTATAAGTGAGAGCGTTACTGCACAAAAGGTTACAAGAGCGAGAGCGAAAGAACAGTTATTGAGAGTTAGGTGATAGAGAGAGTGATAGACGGCAATAACTACGACAAAGAGCGGCTAAATGTAATGAGAGGGAGTACTTACGAAAAGCAACAACACAAACACACGACTAACCGACGCACAAAATTAATTAAATAAGTTGTGTTTTTACACAATTATCAGGCATGCACCCGCGGTAAAAGTATGATTTTAATGTAAGTTAGTTAGAGAGTTAAATTA